CACAGTGTCGTTGTTTTTTGTTTCACAAGTGTAGTCGTGCTTGTTTGTATCCGTATATTCCTCGCCCTGTAAGTTTATGCTATGTGTCCATCACTCGTGTAACATATGCACAGAGACGTACATAAGGGTTCACGCATACTGCATATACGTGATATTCTCGGTGGCGTGGGTACCGAAGGCTTTCAGGCAATGCTGTGGAACAGAGGGGTTCTTTCGGACTAATGGAGTCAATTTAAAGAGATTCTTTTCGACGAAGCCAAATCGGGTAAATCTTTGGAGGGGGGGGGGAAGCAAATTTATACTCCCGGTTTCCCAGTAGCCTCTGAAAATGAGGGCACCCTTTTGCCACTATTCGGTTTTTGTAAGGGAGCCCCAAAAACAAAAAGGGGCAAAAAGGTATTACTGGGGCCACTACCGGGGAACAATGGGGTTAAGGGCCGGTTCAGGTGTCAGACGGCATAAAGAGGCCTGCTTGAGTTTCCCGCTACCCCTGCGAGCATTGAGCGCGATCCGGAATGCTCAACCTACATGGAATGGAAGTCGACAAGAAATCTCAATCACACGAACCCGAGCTCCTTCAGTTGCAGCTTCATCCCTCAAGAAGAGGCTAATTACGAAGAAAACCCCAAACCATGGACCTGAACTTTCGTTGCGGCCACGGCCTCTTGTATGCTCGGAGTGTAGTGGCAAGGATGCACTACCCCAGTGGCTGGAGGCTTCCACACCTTCGGCCGCGAGGTTTCGGAGCTGCAGGGGTTTAGGCTTTAAGCGGTTTGGGCGCTGGGGTTCTAAGATTTGGATTTCAGAACCCTGAAGCGTAAAACCGCTTTTGGGGTCTGGGGTGGAGGCTTAGGGTCTTAGACTTAGGGGCTGAGTACCCTAGCCCAAAAAAGGTTAGCCTTTTGAACTATAGTAGGATTATAGAGAGCCCCAAAAGGTTAAAGGTTACCTACTCAGCCACTAAGTAAAACCGCTCTAGAGTTTGTGGTGCGTTCGTGCTCCTCGCCTGGCCGGCTCATCTGCTGGAACCCTAAACCCCTAAACCTCTAAACCCCTAAACCCCTTAAGCCTAAACCCTAAACCCCTAGACCCCTTAAAACCCAAACTCTGCTGGAATGCTTCCGATTGCTGTTCAAAGCCGTCTATAAACGAGAAAAATCAAGGGAACTTACCTCGTGGCTACTTTGGGGCTTAGACTTAGGGTTTGGGGCGAGATGCCCGAAGGAAACAGTCCTGTATGAAGCACAATGTAGGGGCTCTCATTATCAGAAGTGGGGTTTTGAGGGTGTAAACTAGCGCAACTATATTGGGACTACAGAGGAAGCCGGTACGACTTAGTACTACTTGTATAAGGCCCGGTATGAAATTAATGCCGACAGCCCTGAATGGCTTGAAGTATCACTGCCACACCGCTCTTGTTCCACACCAGCGTGCGTGCCTCAGCCCCAAAAAGGTTAACCGTGGGATCGTGGTAGGAATCGTACACCCCGAGGAACTAAACGTTAACCTGTGGGGTTGTATAGGGTAGCACCCCAAACAGCTTACAGGTTACCTCTCTGAATAGCTGGACCTACCTTATCAACTGCCATGTAGTGCTCATCTTCGGGCGGCCCATCTTTTGCAGAATGTTCGATGTCTGTTTTTGCAGACCCAAGCCCAAAGCGCATCACACGCAGGATGCCACAAACCCAGCTTAATTTCCAAACCCTCTTACGGCGCCCCAACATGAACCTAAACCGGACGAGAGGCTCTCAGCTGTTCGGGGCGTCCTTCGTGAAGATCCTCGGTGACGACTACCTGGACCCTGAAGAACCTACCTTTTAAAGGACTTGTATAAGGACAACTTAAGAAGGAGCCCTAGCGATGTAGGTTCTTCCGGGTCCAGGTAGGGATATGGAGCGCCTATTCAAGGTACGATAAGCAGGTTTAGGGTTTATGGTGCTTTGTCATCTTGCCTAGGGCTTAAGACATTCTCAAGTTAGGGTTCAGTGGAGACTCTGTAGGAAGACAAGACAAAGCAGAATAGATCCCACAACCTTTTCTAGCTTACTCAGACTTTCAAAAGCTAGTGCTACTGTTGATGGTATAAATCCTGCATTACCTTCCCTAGACTATGGGAAGTATGGTATGTTCCATTTTATGGGTAAGGCAGGATGTATATCATCAACCGTAGTTTTCTTAACCTTCTGGAACCTGGCCTACCGCACTCTGCGGATGGGGGGGTCTGGCTTGTGCCGCAAGCTCTGCGGCTGCTGCTGAAACACCTACACACTGTAGGGGTTTCTTAACATGTGCCGTGTCTTCTTGGGTGTCCTTAAAGCAACATGAAATCTACTATGTCGGGTTCAATTTCAGGGTCCCGTCTTGTCTCAAACTCCCACATAGTTTGCATATTTGGCGCTTAGGGCCTATACGGCTCATATTTCTTGGCTCAGTGCGTCATCGCTCCAGTAGCTGTGACCACATTGGTAGACATGCCGCAGTCTTGGGCCCTGAACCCTGGACCCCTAAACCCTCTTTCATCCTGAACCTCAGAATCTGAGCCCGGCACCCCCCCCCCCCCACCCCCAAACCCTAAACCCTAAACCCTGAACCCTGAACTCTGAACCTTTTTTTTTACACAGGCTTGATTGGAGCCTAAACCCTAAACCCGAAACCCTGAACCCTAAACCCCAAACCCTAAACTCCTAAACCCCTAAACCTTCGGCCCAGCTGCGACCATGATGATCCCATTCCTGGAAACAGCTTTTCTCAGCAGGGCCCTCCGGTTTGAAACACAGGTGCAGTAGGTTTAGGGTTTAGGGTTTAGGGTTTAGGGTTTAGGGTAGGGGCCTTAGTAATTAGAATAGGGTTTTGGGGTATAGTATGCTATACTTGTAGTAATAAGGAGCCCCCAACATAGTCTAGGTAATTATTTAAGCTCCTATACTACAGCTACCAAGCTGTTTAGAAGACAACAGAAGCGCAGAAGTTCAAACCATGGATCATCGACCGGCTGCGAAGAGGAACTGGTATAACATAGCATTGACGAAACTTCCCACTAATCACCCAAGGGGTTAATAGAAACTACAACTACAGAATTCAATCCCAAATGACCCAAAAGACCATCCTTTATATGGTTTTGGGGACGAATTCCAAAATACTGTTGATGATATAAATCCTGCGCTACCCATAATAAGGAATATACCATACTTCTCATAGTTTAGGGTCCTTCAGGCAATGCAGGACTTATATCATCAACAGTAAGTAGTACCTTAAACTACCAGTACCACATTTTATAGGGACCCTACAAAAAGTAGGTTTAGGTAGGTTAAGGCAGTATCCTTGCACTTTCCGGGTCCGTAAACCCAAAGCCCCCGGTGCCCGTTTACCCCAAGAGCCCAGTCCTCTTCCTCGGCTTCAACCGAGGGCTTCGCGGGGTGGCGAAACCTTTGCGGTTTGGGTTTAGGGTTTAGGGTTTTTTGTTTCCCCTCTTTTAGGGTTTAGGGTTTAGGGGGTTTGCGGTTTTTTAGGGTTTTGGTTTGGGCTTCAAGGGCTACTTGGAGATAGGGTTTAGGGCTTCAGGGGCTACTTGGAGGTTCATGGGTAGTTAAAAGTAGGGTTATAAGTCCCGGCCACCAATATGCGTTGTAAGTATAGTTACCCTACTTATAAGCCCATTTATAACTAACTGTCCATGAACCTCCAAGAAGTGGTGCTTGAGGGCTTCAATGTTCATATAATATTCATTCTCAGATTTTGCAAGTCGAGGCTCAGTCTTGTCCGCAAACGCACATCTCACATAAGACCCTGACCCCCCAAACTCTCGGGTCGTGTACTCTGGCCGACTTTTGCTAGTTAGCATACTGAAGAAAAACATGATGGTTGTTATTCTTACTAAACTAGTACTATGCTCTTTGCTCTTATTACGATTACTATGAGAATTCTGCTTCTTGTTAGGAAGTATGGAGGTTGCCGACTCGTCCCAGGCTTCAGAGCTTTCCAGATGAAGGTCGCAGACTTAGGCGAGCACCGGGGAACCGCCGGACGCCGTGCAGAATTTTCCTGACGTTCAGGGTTTAGGGCTTCCCTAAATCCTGAGTCCCAAGTAGGGCCCTAAACCCTAAATACTAAACCCTAAAGTAGGGACTCTAAACCCAAACGATTGCAAAACCCTTAGCCCTGAATCCTAAGCAGGGCTGAGGGTTCTGGGTCATGCTACCTAGCCGAAGACATGCCTTTATCTGAACGCGTATACATGTCCGATACCATGCACGGGCACCGGCTTGGTGTATGTGCAAGTAATGTGATATATAAACCTACATACAAATCATGAAATACGAATACACGTATACACTATATATATATATGTGTGTGTGTGTGTATAAGAGTGTGGATACGTGTGTGCGCAAACCTGTATACCCATGCACAAATACAAAAACGATTCGCACACCTACTCGTGCTGAAAGGTGGAGATTCAACACTTGAATACCACCATGGGTGTGCACTACAGTGCCTTTGTTGCGGCTCGGGTATCGCCGAAGTGTACTGTATCTTATGGGCAGCCCAAAGATTAGGCTACATGTGCACTACGGTAAACTCTCCGTGTTCTGCGCTGAAGACTTAACACCTGAAGCTTCAGAATTATGCTAAAACCTTCCCTTGACTAACCCTAAACCTTAAACCCCCAAAGCCTTCAACCCTACACCCTACCCCTAAACCCTACACCCTATAAGCCCTATAAACCCCCGATAAGCCCATAAAAAACCCTAAACCCTAGCCCTAAAAGCCCCACAACTGCTGAAGTCTCAGCAGCGTGCAGCTTTGGTCGGTCCTGCTCGGTTGCTGCAGCAGCAGGAGGCTTTGGAATGGGATGTCGGAACCTGACGTTCGGACGGGCATAGGGTCTAGGTAATACTTGGAGGTTCAGGGGTAGGTACAAGTGGGGTTATAAGTCCCCTAATATGGGTTATAAGTACAGTTACCCTATTTATAGCCCCACTTATAACTACCCATGAACCTCCAAGTATAGAAGCCTTAAGAATTGGGTGTATTGTCGCAGCGGTATGACCAAGAAGTCCAACGAAAAAGAATCGTAATCTTACCTTCCCCGTCCCGTTCCAGGGGAGAACTAGCGGTTAACCTTTGGAGTTATCAAGGGTCTATAGTACCCCAACAAGTTAAGGTTACCTATTCTACTTCTAAGCTGATGTTCGCTTGAGATTTTTCCTTCACGCATGGCTACATTACCCTAGAGATTGGGAATTTGCGAGCCCATCACACTCATCCTCAAGACTAGATCCTGCGTGCAAGCATGTGGGGCAGCCGAAAAGTGTCAGGAAGCGCCGTGACAGTTCAAAAGTTGGACTTGTGGAACGGCCTAGCCCCGTGCGCCGAACATCCAAAGGAGCTAGGATTAGGGGGACCCTTGGGGATATAGACCCTCTCAATAAGGTCCCTTTTAAGATAGCCAAAAGTAGGGTTCAGAAGGGGTACCCTTTAAGGGGTACCCCTAATGATACTACCTAACCCTAAACCCTAAACCCTAAACCCTAATCCAAAGGCCGCAAATCTCAAACACCAAGACGACCGAAGCCTTTCGCGGCCACGAGCACTCCTCAACATGCCAAGGCCCAAACCCTAAAGCCCTAAACCCCCAAACCCTGAATCCCTAAACCCCTAAATTTGCCCTAACTCCCTAAACCCTAAACCCTAAACCATAAATCCTTAAACCCTTAAACCCTAAACCCCTAAACCCTCAACAGGCCAAGGCCCTCAACTTTACACCGCACCCTCAGACCCGAAGCTTCCAGGGGCTCTCCTGAAAGCCTCAGCCCTCGGAGGCTTTTAACCCCTAAACCCTCAACCCTTGGTAGCCCTAGACCTTAAAACCCAAACCCTAAACCCTGAACCCGAAACCCTTAACCCCTTTTTGCACAGGCTTGCGTTAATCCCGCCTGGACGTGTGGCACCCGTTCTCCGAACAAGGCCAAGCACAGAAAGAAATCACCAACTTAGATAACGCAAATATGAGCCGTTCATGTTCACCTTGGAAGTGCACTACTAGGCATTCTTAAAAACCCTAAACCCTTGGTAGCCCTAACCTTATGCAGTTTAGGGTTCCCTAAACCCTAAACCCCTAAACCCTCAACCCCAAAGCCCTACACCTTAAAACCCCAAACCCTAAACCCTCAACCCTGAACCCGAAACCCTAAACCCTAATACTAAACCCGAAACCCTAAACCCTAAACCCTCAAGCTTAAACCCCAACAGCAATGCCCTAAGCCGTCCCCCTCGGACGACAGCCGCCGAGGCCTCGGTACAGCCGGCCGCCTTTCCGAAGCCGGCTCCTTTTTAAAATTTAAGGTTTAGGGTTTAGGGAAACCCTAAACCCTAAACCCTGGTTGAGGATATTATTGCTTAGGGTTTAGGGTTTAGGGATTTAGGGTTGAGGATTTTGGAGCTTAGGGTTTGGGGGGGTTAGGATGGAGGTTTAGGTTTAGGGCTAGGGGCTTAGGATTTAGGCTTTATGATAGCGGTTTAGGCTTAGGGTTTAAAGTTTTAGGGTTTCTGGTTTAGGGATTCAGGGTTTCGGCTCTCACGCTCGGACAAATGCAGGCGAGGCTTGTGGTCATAGGTCGGCAAAGTGAAACAATCTACAGAAGCCAGGAGAAAACACTTTGAACACTAGTAAGACCCTGCTAAGGGTTTAGGGCTTTGAGCCAACAGCTTTTTGAAAAGGAAGAGCATGTAGGATCTTTAAGAATTCGAACAGGGTTCCTTTAAGGGCTTACTGCAACGGTTACCTGGTATAGGGGCCTTCATAATTAATATGTATCAGGGGGAGCCCTCAGGGATAGGGTTTAGGGTTTAGGGTTTAGAGTATCTCTACATGTTCAGACTTCTATATATAAACTTGAAGCATGCATCTTGGGTTCTATCAGGTTTGGCTGAAAAGTTTTATGAGGAATGTACTTTACAGAAGACAGGGTTGGTTTGGGTTTAAGGCGTCTGATTTGGGGTATATGCCGTAATGAAGTGTAAACCCTAAACCCTAAACCCTAAAGATCTTAGCCTCGCTCGTTCGAATCACAGAATTTCTTGATCCTTGCTGCTGACGCTTGACATCACGACCTGACCTCCAAATACGTGGAGTATCAGGGTATACCGGTTTAGGGTTTAGGGTTTTAGGGTATACACTGGGCAAGGATGGCAAGGCAGCATTGGTGTTTTTTAATTTTTAATCTCAGTTTCTGAGATTGCCTTTGAAGTTCCGCGGGCTTTTTATTTCCATCCGCAGGCTCGGCACGCTCGCAGGCCCAGAGGCAGTTTTATGCAGCTTCATAACTACTTGGGATAGCAGTGGCTGCATACAGACTGATAATGTAGGGGGGTTAATAATTACCTAATTATACTATTTTGGGAGGCTCCTTACTATAATTGTAATAGAATACACCCCCAAACCCCTATTCTAATTGTTCAGGCTCCTATATTATGTGACTTCTTCCAGCTGCTTGATGCGACGGCGCAGAAGTGTGGTGTTTGGTGCATGCCTTTACAACCTTTCTTCCTACCTCGAGCTACCAAAACCTACTTTTTTGTAGGGTCCCTATAAATTCTTTATTCGGCTTCAGAATAAGAACCTACAAAAAAGTAGGTTATGGTAGGTTAGAGTAGGTTTACAACTTGGAGCCCTGAAGTAACTCCTTAGCTTCGCGAAACAGCAAGCCGCCTCGCTCAAGAGTTGATGACCACCCTAACCCCTAAACCCTAAACCCTACCCTGCAACGGGGCATTGGACGAAATTAGAGGTTTCGTAGCCCTCAACCCTAAGACTCACTCACTCTCTCTCTCTCTCTCGTCCCTCTCTCCCTCTCCCTCTCTCTCTCTCTGCCCCCCAAAAACCGCAACACTCCAACACCCCTAAACCCTAAACCCTAAAAGGTCCTGCGAACCCGGCTTCTTGATGGGGAGCGGCTCCCTTGCGCGATTGGGTGCCTCCTGGAACACCGAGGGTCGAGTTTTTTTCGGAAGTGTCATGCTTTAGGGTTTGGGGTTTTAGGGTTTAGGGTTTGGGGTTTGGGTTTTCGGGTGTTAGGGTTTAGGGAATAGGGTTTGGGGTTTTAGGGCTTAGGGCTTAGGGGTTTTAGGGTTTAGGGATTATGGTTTGGGGTTTTAGGGTTTAGGGTTTAGGGCTTAGGGGTTTGGGGTTTAGGGCTTCGGGGTTTTAGGGTTTACGCTCTCACAGTTCGGACATGCCAGGCGAGGATCCATGGTTGAAGATCGGGTGACGCAGTTTGCAGCTTTGCTTGGCCGGTACTATGCAGAGTTTAGGGTTTGAGGGTTTGGAGTTTGGGGCTCAGGGTTTAATCAAGGTTTCGGCGCTCTTACTCGGACAAGCCAGGCGAGGTTAAGGGTTTCCGTCGTTTCTGTAACCGAACCCTTTTCAATTGTTTAATCCTAAGCCAAAAGCTCAAACTATAAGCGTTGCACGCTACAACCCAAACTCTTATATAGGGGCCTACATAATTACCAATACTATTTTGGCAGTTCCTTCTTATAATTATAGTAGAATGGGTGGGCCCCAAATCCCTATTCGAATCATTAAGGCCCCTACATTAAGCACCTTTGGGTTGCAGGACTCAGGACATCAGGACTTGGAGTTCAGGGGGTTTGTGTTTGGCGCTTTGGGCGGCTCGGTGCCCTGCAAGTCTGCAGCAAGGGCTGGTAGGGTTTTGGATTTAGGGTTTAGGGTTTGGGGCTTAGGGATATACTAAAATTCAAGGGTTTAGGGTTTAGGGTTCAGGGGTTTAGGGTTTAGGGTTTAGGGTTCGGGGTTTAGGGTTTAGGGTCACAGAAGAGGAGAATCAGAGACATGTTGGAGGTCTAGGCTTAAAAAAACCGATGTTACAGCTGAGGCTCAGCGGTATTTGTAATATGTAATATATGACATACACTATCTAACATATATACACACACACCCATACATATATGTATATGTATATATATATATATATATATGTATATATATATATGTATATGTATACACACACATAGTATGTAGTATCTACTAAAACATGGGTCTGCATCGCCTGGCTCGGCCCTAATCTTCATTGCAGACAAACGCCAGCAAGGACAATCTCGCTCTTGCCTTCACTACGGTAGGGTTTAGGGTTTAGGGTGTAGGGTTGTGAAGGTGTTCGCTATTTGATTCTGGGAGGAGGGAGCTACCCATTTGCCTAATTGCTAGTTAAATGTAGCATTGGGCCGACTTCGAAGACCGCTGTAGGGACAGGCTTCTCATCAGCTTCCTGCAGCGTGGCCCAAAGAGGACTGCCTCCGCGCAAAACCCCCGCCCCAAGCCAATGGGATCCCGAGTTCGGAAATTTAACTCGGCTTGTCCAAGCCACAAAATCTAAAGAGTTACGCCCCACATAGAGGGGACACTGTTGGAATGTGCAGCCACAAGGGCATCAGCTAAAGTGCTTTTGCCCTTAGTCTCGTTGCCGGTGCTGTGCATGTGTGCGTTTCTTCGACCACCCCGTCTCTGAGCCAGTGCCCCAGCTTCGAACTTCCGTGAGGCATCATCGAGGGGTTTAGGGTTTAGGGTTTAGGGTTAAACCCTAAACCCTAAACATTGAGCCGTCTTTCCAAGGGCCCAATTCCAACCCAAGCCGCGGGTGACACATCTTTCCATACTTGGAGGGTCGGGGGACTTAGTAAGTGGGTAATAAGTAGACTTATAAGCACCCTAAAAAGGATCCTAATTGGGGTTATGATACTTATAACTCTATAAATTATCTACTTATTAAGTCCCCCGACCCTCCAAGTATCCCAGGCTGGGATTGAGGTGCCCGGCCAAACGCATGGATGGGCAAAGCAAAGCACCAGTCGACTTGCACTCACTCACCCACTCACCCACGGCGGATCAGTCTAAATAAACAGGGGTAGGACTAAATACTGGAACCACTGAAAGTCCACACACACATATATATATATATATTTTTTTTTCTATATATATGTATAAATATTGCAACATGTCCCAAAACTTTTCTAGTCGATGCCAAGGTCTAGGATTTGGGGAATGGGCTTTAGGGCCTTTAGGGCTGCATTTTGGCATGCAGGCTCTTGGGAGCTAGGATTAGGGGGATCCTTGGGGATATAGACCCTCTCAAGAAGGTCCCTTTTAAGAGAGCCAAAAGTAGGGTTCAGAAGGGGTACCCTTTAAGGGGTACTCCTAATAATACTACCTAACCCTAAACCCTAAACCCTAAACCCTAAACCCTAAACCCTAAACCCTAAACCCTAAACCCTAAACCCTAATCCAAAGGCTTCGACCTCAAGTTCTTTGCAATGCTACCCAGCAGGCTTGCATAAAACAGGACGTCCACAACACACCCTACACAACCCCGCAGGCAAAGCTCTGAAAACACAAAATCCGCTTTGATGGGGCTTTCCCTGAACCTAAACCGAGGGTTTAGAGTTTAGGGTTTAGGGTTGTCCCCATGTCCTGGCACACAGCCCTAAACCCCGTTAAACCCTGTAAGCCACGCAACTCTTGTCCTGGCCGGCCATGTAGCCAAACTTGAAATGATCGGCCTCAGGTCCGGTTCCCTGTTGGAGCTATATTAAAAATTACAATTTTAGGGTTTGCTTGTTTAGGGTTTAGGGTGTTACGGTTTCTGGTTCCCTGTTGGGGATATGTTAAACATGATCATTTTTGATCCTTATGAGGCTTTATTATAACAACAATGTAAAATTGTATCCAACAAGGACCTGGAGGTGCTTTCTTGGCCCGAGGGACTTAGCAAGCAAGGCTACAAGTAAGGTTATGAGTAGGAGAACCCCATTTTGGGGACTTTTGCCCCAGTTACAACCCTAGCTATACTTACAAAGTCCCCTGAGCCGTTGAGTAGTCGCTCCAAACTCCAAAGGGGATGGACCTAACGGAGAATAAGGGACTCTACTGACGAAGTTCCAATGGCAGGCTCCGTTTATGCATGAGAAGTCTGAATAAAAGGCGACTAGGGTATACGTATTGGGTGGTGGCTTTGTGTGTGTGTGGGTGGGTTTATGCTACAAATATGGGGGGTTTCCGAAAATAGGGACCCTAACATAGTACCCTAAATAGTAGGGTCCTTATTATATAAGGATCCCAAAATAAGGTACCCCTCATTTTCGGAAACTCTCATACGTGTTCGAACCCAGGGTGCGGTGAATGTGGGTTTCTGAGCTTGTAAGTTGCACCAATATAGGTAGTTGTCAAAATTATGGTCCCTTTTGGGGTACCCTAAATAATAGGTACCGTATTATAACAAGGATCCAAAAAGGGACCATAATTTTGACAACCACCCATATAGCCTTGGCAGCTCAGGTAGGCCATAATTTCCGCACTAGGGTTTTGAAGGTCCATGGGCAACCTGACAGCCGCATCTACTATGTAGATCCCCAGACTGTTGATGCCAATACTCATGCCATCGAAAACCGCTATCGCTTGCAACAGGAGCGCTAGCCATAGGCAAGATGTTAAAGAATACCAGTACCATCCTCCTCACCATGCTCATCTCTCATCGTCATCATCGTCACTACAGCGTCCACCACCGTCGTCATCGTCTTTGGCAGAAGGATGTACACTATGTTCAGCATGAGTAGAAGCATGACAAGAATTTCAACTATCAAAGTGCTCCTTCAGCGGGTGGCCATCAGTACACAAGACTATACTGGCGGCGATCAATACCACAGCTTGGGGAGACAACGAGGCCGATGCTTGTGATGCTGGTGGTGATTTTGTTTGAGGGCGGTGGCTTTCACAGTGGTGATGTTGAAACTGATGGTCGTAGCGACGATATTTTGGTACTATTAACCGTGGTAGCTCCATCTAGCAGTAGTGGTGCAAATTTCATTACAAGTACTGTGGGTGGTAGAACAAGAACAGACTGCAGCAGCAGCTTCGGCATCGCTATTGATCAACATCATCGGCACTAGGAGCATTAGTCATTAGTCCCAATGATGTGAGAAGATCTGGATATGGGCATAAAGCAGCACGAGACCTTCCATCAGAAGCCAGTCGAAGCTTGGGGGCAGATTTCAGGATCGGATTCCACGCGGACGGTGCTGCCCCCGAGCACGAACCTGACTGCGGTGTGTATGGCCTAGTATGGGAGGCCTTGATACTGAGGATCGGATTTTGGGCTGAGTTACATTACAGACCTTGTTCCACGTTGGGGCAATATCAAAACTGTTCATTTTCAATCCTTATTGGGTGTTATTGTAACACAGATGTACAACTGTATCCAACAAGGATCCAGTTATGATTTTGTTAGGGAGCGGTGAGGAAGAGCACTAAGTACTCAAGACGCTCTACTCGAGTATGAGGTTTCCAGTCAGGTGAGCAGCAATTTAGGGCTTAGGGTTTAGGGTTTAGGGAGAACCTCTAAACCCAAAACCCTGATGGAGAAACCTGAATCAAGGCCCAAAATCCTCGGACATCTCTTTCTGGGGTCGCGTTCTCTGGATTTGAGGGCTTCGCTTCGGAGCCGCAGGGTATTTCGGGGCTTCAATACAAGGGGCCTTGATACCAAGAACCGGCTTTTGCGGTATAACATAAGACCGTAAAGCAGCCCTGGAAAGCATCAGAAATCATTCAGGTCCCAATTCTAAGTGATTCTTGGGTTTAGGGTTTAGGGGTTTAGGGTTTAGGGTTTAGGGTCTAGGGTTACTAGGGTTTAGGGTTCAGGGGTCATACTGGGTACTCGGGCTGACGGGTTCAGCCTCTCAATGCCCACATGTCGATATGCCAGGTGAGGTGGCGTCAATACCTCCGAAACCGAAAACCGCAGATCAAAACATAACAGAACCCCGAAACCCTAAACCCTAAACCAGAACCCGGGAATCCGGCATGAAACTCTGAAGGTTTAATTTAGGGTTTAGAGGGTTTAGGGGTTTAGGGAACGTTTACGGGGGTTTAGGGTTTAGGCGTTTAGGGTTTAGGGGTTTAGGGGTTTAGGAGTGCCCCCTGAATCCTAAACTGCCCGAAGTAAAGCCTAACCCCACGTCAACATCCTCCCTGAAACCTAAAGCCATCTCAAACAAAAACCCATTATAACCGGAGCCATGATGTTTTTTGTAATTTTTTCTGTTCTTTTTTTGTGACCTTTTCTGGTGTTGGTTGCTTTCCTTGCGGTTTTTTGGAACCCCAGAATAACCCCTTAAGCCTCACAAACCAAAAGTGCTTTTCCCCTTGTCCCGAGCTGCTGGAACTCCGCTCTGCCGCGGCTTCCTCTGCTGGGAAATGCACGAACGCTCGGAGATGCTTATCTGTGTGGTGCTTAGTAGGGAATGGGGGAATGGGTTATAGGGACTACTACAAGGGATCTAAAGGGGCTATCATAGGGATCCATTCCCCCATTCCCTACTAAGCACCAGACAGTTATGCTCGGGGTGCTTTGGGGCCTTTCTGTATCCTAGACACCGGAAGAGCTTCAGATTTACGGGTCATGGGTTCTCATGTAGGAGGTGTAGTGTTTCAGGTGGAATTCAGATCGTTTCGTTTATTCTATAAAACTCCAATCCCTAAATCATTTTCGGCGCTCACACTCGGTGCGTCCAGCGAGGCATATGTCCAGGAACGAGCAACCAGCAACGAATCGCACAAAGCTACACACTGCCAACTGAAGCCCAACTGCCGTTTTTGTGTCTTTTCGGGCTGTCAGTCTTAGGGGGCTCAGAAGCTTATGGCGTCGGGGTTTCATTTCGTTTTTTTTTTTGCACGGGTTTCCAAGTCACTATTTCGGGTTTAGCATTACAGGTTTCAGGGCATCCTAAACCCCCAAGCCCTAAACTCGTAAATCCCTAAATCGAACCCCTAAACTCCTAAATCCTGAACCCCTTGTTTTGAACTTAGGCTCCTTGCTATCAGCTGAACCCCTAAACCCTAAACCCCAAACCCTACCTAAACCCTAAACCCTAAACCCTAAACCCTAAACCCTAAACCCTAAACCCTAAACCCTAAACCCTAAACGGACCCGGAGATCCGAACCCCCGCAAGCTTTTAGAGGCTCTGGGAGCCTGGAGATGTAGGAGCCAAGGCTCCACGGCGGCACTACGAAGGGTTAGGGTTTAGGGTTTAGGGTTTAGGGTTTAGGGTTTAGGGTTTAGGGTTTAGGTTCATGATATCAATCTATATAGGGGTTTAGTGGTGAGGCTTAAAGTTGAGGATTTAGGGATTAGGGTTTAGGTTGATGATAAAAACCCTGCATTTCTCATAATAAGGAATATACCATAAATCCCCACAGTTTAGGGTCCTGAAGGCCATGCAGGATTTATATCATCAACAGTAGGGCTTGGGAGCAGAGATACTGGAGGTGCTGTATGGGGCCTTAATAAGTAGAATAAAGTTTGGGGGGTATACTATACTTATAATCATAATAATAAGGACCCCCCCCCAAAAAAAAATCGTAGATGTAATTCTTTAGGCACCTATATTACATTTACTGTGGCTCTATGGAGACTACGAAGGTTCAGATCACGAACTATTCTGCCCCCTACAATACCATGTGCTCTCTCTTTCTCATGTCTTTAGGGTTTAGGGTTCTGTCTCTCTCTCTCTCTCTCGCTCTTCTCTCTTTTCCACCCCCCCTCCCTTTATTATCACCAAAGCCTCCTTCGGCTTCAAGGTCTGGGGTTTAAGGTGGGCTTTGTTGCGATGACCGGATCAAAAGAAACACTCAGGTTTTCGGGGTCCCTCGAAAAAAAATGACTCGGGGCTTTCGGTATCCAGCGTTTCGAAGTTTAGGTTTTAGGGCTTAGGGCTTAGGGTATCCAGCGTTTCGAGGTTTAGAGTTCAGGGCTTTCTTATTCAGGGATCGAAGGGCAGACTGGTAGTAATGTAGGGGCCTTAAAAACTAGGAAAGGGCAAGGGTTTTAAGGGGTATCTTATACTATACTTCTAATCAGGAACCCCATACAATAGTATATATTGGTAAGTACTTAGGCTTCTATATTAGCCCGAGCAAACACAAGTCATAGGTAGCCATCGTGCTCGCAACAGGAGCTGTCAGGCTCACCAAACAGCAGCAACAAACAACAATAATACTAGCATTACCAAAACGCATGCAAGAACTCCAGCACCCATTCCACTATATACTGCTTATATTTCTGAGTAAGACAAAGAGTAGCGAATGTCATCACCGCCATCACATAAGCAGCATCGAGACGTAACCGTTGCAGTTGTCGAGGGCAGCGACACAGAGTGACCTTCTAGGGCTTTGCAGAGTCATACGGCCCCCCCAAGAAGGACTACATGTTACCTGCTCGGCTACGAGACTAATCCTAAAACCATCGACTCCGAACGCCTGATCACCAACATCTATAAATAAAGGTTAAGCACCCCCAAAATCTGGACCGTAGCCCAGCCACCTCGACACACACACACACACACAGATGTATATATATATATATATAGACACAAACATGTATGTATATACATATATATATATGTACACAGTATGTATACATAACCATACATATATATACACATTTGTATACGCAACTATATGTATATATATATATATATACACATGTATATATATATATATATATGTACGTACATATATACCTACACATACCTATATGCCGGAAAAAGCACCCGGCGCGAAACGAGCTCGAGTCGACTAGTGGAATTGCCTCACGGAGAGCCACCTGCCCCGGCTACCTGGAACCGCAAACCTTAATCCCTTAACCCTAGACCTTAACCCCTGAAAGCCCGAAGCCCTAAGCTCTAGGGTTTGGGGTTTAGGGTTTCAGGGTTTAGGGTTTAGGGTTCAGGGTTTCAGGGTTTCGGGTTTGGAGTTTCAGGGTTTAGGGTTTTGGGTTTTAGGGTCTGGGGTTTCAGGGTTTAGGGTTTTAGGGTTTAGGGCTTAGGGTTTTAGGGTCTGGGGCTTTAGGGTTTAGGTTTTTTCCCTCTCGCATGAATGAGGATTGTACTCACGGCGAGGTGTCATTGGAGGTAGTACATGATTGCAAAAGACTAGACAGCTTGACACAGTTGCCCTCCAAGTTTGAAGGGTTCAACTCGACCCATTCTTCTCGAACAAGTCAACATGCACTCAAGCAAAATGCCGATAAATTCAAAACTCAGGTCTCCGGTCTCCGGTCATATCGAGGCCCTCTCACACTGTACGACTCACTTGTTCGCACCGTCCACAACGACCCATAAGAGCCCTCATCAGAAAGTTTCCCAACAATCCAGTCTTTTCTCAGGGACCACAGCCAATGCAGGATCCATCAAGCCCCAAAAGGCTGAAATACTGGTAAACAGCATTCATGTTGCTGCGCCATGCAAAACATTTGTCAGAGAACTCACCAGGTCAGGAGTCCACATTCAGAGCACATCCTGAAACTCCCAGCAGTATGTCCCAAAAGTCTTGTGTTCGGTGTCTGGAGCGCTCACCTTGCGTGTGGTATGTTCCAGGACATAGGACACTGTCAGTTTTGTCCCAGGATCACTTCATGCCAGGTCAAAACCCAACATCCAGAGCTGTGCCTAAAACTTCATGGCTGTGCTCACGAGCACGCTGTGTCTGTAGCATCCCACTTTGTTTGCTCATGAAAGCGACAGGCTCTTTTTCTGCGTGATTCCAGGACATAGTTCACTGTCATGGGCCAGGCAGACCGTGCTGTTCAACTGGGCGTGCAGCTTACCCACTCATCCCAGAAAGACGGCCATCCACTCAGTCAAATGACAGAGCAGAGATCCCATTCCAGAGAGCATCCACGCAATCTCACTCATTTCTCAAATCGCCAGTTTTTTATCCAAAGCGGTGACAGAGCGAGTATGTGAAGGCAGTCCATGACGGCGCTAAGCATGGTTGCAAAGGCTGGGTTTCGGTCCCTGTTCAGTCAGAGTGAACAATGTCGACACTGCACTAGGTCTATGAAGCTAGTTGGTTAGCGACACTTCAACCTCTGGATCTCAGCACTCACCGTGAGCGCCGACGTAGGGCCCGCAGGAGGTCTTCACTTGTGGCCTCCTGAACCAACACACTGCTCTGCGGCTGCTGGTTGGGCGCATAAAAAGCTGTGGGTGCGGGCTGCCTCTGTACCGGCCCCAGGGCCCCCACCAACATGTTCGGAAAGCTTGAGCTGGATACTGCCTGGCTGCGAAGGGACGTCCGGGGCCTGGGTGATGATCCGAATCGGCGGCATGAGCATCGTTGCTGGAGGCGTCGGCGGTCCCAAGGATTGTGGGGCCCCTGTTGGCTGTGGCCGAGATCCACTGCTACTGCTGGCCGCCTGTTGTGGCTTGTCATTGCTGGGAGGTTTGCGGTGAAGAAGTTTAGGCAGCCGATCACGGACTTCATGAAGTACTGGCATCTCCGCTGCCACACCCTCCAACTGTCCCATGGCCCTTGTGTCAAAGTCTCCAAGCTGATCGATAAGTCCTGTCAGCATGGACTCTGTGCGAAGCAACCTGTCTTCGCAGTTAATCAGCGACTCAGCGTTCGAGCTGCCGTGCCTTTCACAATATTGCATTGTGTAGTCCAGCTTCTCGACCGCATCCATCAGCTTCTTGTCTGAGGGCACCAGGGGGTTAAGACCCCTGACATGCGAATTCAGCCATCCGTATGCGTCCTTCTGATCTGCCTTCAAACTTTCCAGTCTGCGCTCAAGAACAACTTTGACGCTCAAATCGTTGCTCAGAGACCTCAACTGATCATGGGCCTGTCCAGTTTTGGCGTCCACGCGCACAATCTTTTCACCGAGCTCTTCATTCTTGAGCTGGTCAAGTTTGGCCGTCAAGCCTTCAAGCTGGGCCAAAACTTCGTCCATTCCCTTGACAGCTGTGAGCTTGGTGAGGTCAGTCTGCAAAGTAGCCACCGCCTTTTTCATCTCAGCCGGAGCGTTGCTTCCGCGGTTTTGCGCCCTCTGGGTAGCCAGCTAACCTGCGAAGCTTGGCGGGAAGCTCGCAAAGAAGGCACTCCATCTTGGGCGAAGCGCATAAATCCACGAGGTCGTGATAGACATCGGGCATGCGTCGGTATGCCCACACCATGAAGTCCAAGTTCGCCGCCAAGTTCCCTCCCGTGTCCAAAACTTTGGACTCGTGACGCCTGCTGCTTCCAAGTGGAGGCGCGTGAACCCGCCAGATCGCAGAGCATCCAGAACTCCTGCGAACGCCAAAGGGCCGACGCCGAAGTGTCGGCTTCGGCCGGCCGAGTATTCAAAAATGAGCAGGCGGGTGTTCTTGGAAAGAAGCTGAAGCTCGAAGCCTTCTACATCCATTTTCACTATCGTGTGCCAGCTCGTCAAAGCTTCCTCAAGCGAGACTGCAGGCACAAGGCGGGTTGACGCAGGCCGCAACCGAAGCACCTGACAGCTGGAAGCCGAAGATTTCCAAGATCCTGTCTTGGAGCCTTGGTCATCTGCGAAAGACAGGCAAGGCTTCAAGTTGTGTTCTTGGAGCCAGCTGGTAAAGGACGTGTCGGCGGGCTTTTTCAAGAGACGTTGCTGGGAGTCCCGCCACGTGAACGCAGAAGTCTGCACGAGCTGGCTCTGGTCGGGCCGAACCAGGTCCGGCCCGAAGAACGTCTCCAACCGGGAGAGTTTAGGGTTTTAGGGTTTTAGGGTTTAGGGTTTCGGGTCTCCAACCTACAAGCCTGAAGGCGTGCCCAAACCAGATGCGGAGAGCGCAATACACCGTTAGTCTCCGCGGCATCGTATGGGCTCGACTATGTTGATAAGGATCTACAAGCTCCGCAAATGAAAGAAGGACTGAGGGTTGTTGTATTCGACAAGCTATACGGCACTGGTCTCTGGAGAAATTGCACCAAGCCTGACACCCCAAACCCCAAAGCCCCTAAACTCAGAATCCCTAAATTCTGAATCTCAAGCCCCAAAGCCCTAGAAACCAAAAACCTATACACGCAACCCCTACCCCACAGCCTTCAGCAAGAACGACCTTCAGACCTAAATTCCCTTGCTACCCATCTAGAACCCCTCTCGCGACCTTCAAAGAAACCTTCACAAAACCCTTTCAACACTCTGAACCCTAAACTCTTAACACCTATACCTTGAAACCCAAGCCCCAACCCTGACCCCTAAACTATAAACCCTGACCCTCAAGCCTGAGTCAAGTGAAGCCGGGGCACAACCTCAGAGCTGTTGGCCATCCCACCAAATCCTCAGCCAAAAAGACGCATGTCTTTGAAGGAGTTTGGGGTTTGAGGTTCTGGCGGACTAACTATTAAAAGGGATAGAACAAGGGTCCTCACGGGGTTACGCATGGAGTTTGGGGTTTAGGGCTGTGGGTGTTGGGTTGAAGGCTTGGGAATTTACGTTAAGGTTGTCAGGTTTAGGGTTTCGCCCTCCATAACCCCTAAACCCTAAAACCCTAAACCCTAAACCCTAAAACCCTAAACCCTAAACCCTAAACCTGCATTTTGGTCTCGAGGTTTGGACCTTGTGCTCTGGCTGTGGGCCGGGAAGCTCCTGTTGTGCCGGCCCTTTAGGGTTTAGGGATTTAGGGATTTAGGGTTTTAGGGTTTTAGGGGTTTAGGGATTTAGGGTTTTAGGGTTTAGGGTTTTGGGGTGTTAGGGACTTAGGGTTTTAGGGATTTAGGGTTTTGGGGTGTTAGGGTGTAGGGTTTTAGGGATTTAGGGATTTAGGGTTTCAGGGGTTTAGGGATTTAGGGTTTCAGCACTCACAACTGGGACAAGCCTGGCGAGGTTCCAAGTACTTCGACGATAGCACATTGGCCAGGGGCAGGCAGATTCACCACGCCCAAACTCACTTTCTCTAATTCAGTGGGACCGGCGAATGGAAAGAAATGGCCTCAGCAGTTCTTCACGCAGCTCAGAAAATCCGATGCGTTCGAATGGTGCGTAAAGTTCCGGGTCTTCGGGATCATCGTGCGGATTCGGAAACATGTGCGACCCAGTCACGCAAGGCAAGCCGGTGACCGGTGGAGAATCTGTGCGGTGGAGCTTCCAAGTAAAAGTGTCACTTGGGAACGTTGTTGGAACATGTTCAGGAAGAATCCCTATGCGGATCAGCCTCTTCTTAAGACTGCGCTCATTATCCCAAGTGATTTCAATGTTGTAGAGGCGAAACTCATGAGCAATTGAATTGATTATGTCTCGAGACAGGCAGTTCCAAAAGTGCTCGAGCTTCGCGCTTGTCAACCGGGCGGCCAACCGTTGTAGCCTCAGTTCTCCAGTACGGGCATCTACGGGGCACCTCACCTTTCTATATAGAAAAGTATTGCCAATGCCTGATGTGATGGCATGTAAACAACGTTTCTCCCGTGCACCTCCTTGACCCAACGCGAATTATACTCAGCCTCACCTGGACGAACCTTGAAAGTCTGCCGCTCCAAATCAGACCATTTGATCTGCATCCCCACTTCCTCTTCATAAAAGTTGTCGATGAGAGAAACAGGTAAGTTTTCTACCCAAAGTCTTGGAAGTGCTTCTCTGCTGTCGTCACCAGAAATGGTCACTTTGTCATCAAGAATGTCGAGAGCAGCACCAAACGACTGAACGCCTAGCACATCAAGAGCGAACTGTTGTTGCTGATGTGTCAAATGCATGTGGAACCAATGATGTAAGGAAGCATCTCTGACCAATTTCTGGACGAGCGAGTCAACTTGTGCAGTGCCATACATGCCACTCTTCACACCACGGACCGCTGCAGATGATTCACCCCAAGGGTAATGCAGGCGTCCAAAAACTACACCACAAGCGAACGCAGTCATGAGTAGTTTGTAAGACCGCGGAGTGAGCCCGTATGGAAGAGTAGACGTGCAAACACGTGTAAAGAGGAAAATGATGGCAAAGAAAAGTAATTGGCGAGGGACGCTGCCATCAAATGCTTTAATGTCGCGTCCAAAACCATAGCCACTCAATGTGTTCCCAACCGCTCAACTTGCGCATCATCTTCTCTGGTCCGGCATTGAAGATGCTGTCACCAAGTGAAAATGGCCATCCACGCACGTAGCGTAATTCCAACATTCTTTCGTAAACTGGCTGGAGGAAAATCATCCAGCCAAGCTGCTCGAGGGAGTCTATTGCTGCAACAACACGTGATTTCCTTCTATCAATGTCACAACGTTGAGCTCGGTTGTAGACTAAAAAGTGAGACCGATACTCACGACCAGCGCTCATGACATGATGAAGGAATGCACGCATAGTTGCTGAAGTGGTGGCACGGTAGGCTTGCTTCTTGTCGGTGAAGAGCAGTTTACTTGGCCAACCTGCAGCTGTTGCAGCAATTGAGGAGGCAATCCTCTCAAGGCGAGTTGACGGAACCTCAGTAATGCAAAAACTGTGAAACAGACGATCCAGTCTCTCAACAGCGAAATGCCAATGTGGAAGATTGAGGTCAATGACCCTATCCACCCCATGAGCCTTCCGAGCGTCATACGCTAAATCGTCGTGCACAATAGCACTCCTGTGAAACCTCAGCGTCCGCCAAAAGAGGTCTTTTGGAATGACCTCAGGGTGATCTGCAGCAAACTCGACCATGGCGGAGTCTAAGAAGGCAGGAGTCTCTGGGCTGTGGTAAATTCGTCCAGTCCGAACAAGCCTTCTTGCGGCTGGCTCGCACCAATACGGGTGCCCAGTAGCATCCGCAAGATGCATGTCAGTTGCGCCTACAGTTCCTGAGAGAACATACGCTTGATCAATGCATGTGACGACGCCAATGACAACAGCGAGGAACTTCGGGTAAAATGGAACGACGGCACTGAACTGACAGCGGTTGGTGAGCGGAGCATGGTCTCGTACACGTGCTGCCGTCATGTCATTCCGCCCGTGACACAGTTCAAGATCAACGTCCGACTCCTGGTCTGTGTCGCACCAGGACAGGACGCCATCAGTAGATTCGATTCAGGCAGCCTCCTCGGAGGCACGCCTGTTTCTGCGTCTGGTTGTCTTCGCAGCAGACGCTTCCTTCCTCAGGATCGTGCTCTCTCGAATCCCAACAATAGTCGGCATCTTTCCTCTGTAGTTGATTGATCCAGCATGCTCGAGCCACTCTGCCCTGAAGATGCGCGAATTACTGTCCATCCAACTTTCACTCTCAAAGGGGTCTGCGATGAGACGCGCAGCAACCCATTCGGGGTTCATGGCGTTGAGCGCCCTCACCATGGCTCCCGAGTCTTTAAAGTTGACAGCGAATCCACCAAACGCCCTCAGCGACGCTGGATTCTTCTTCCTCGCAGCTGCATTACTTGAAACGGGGACGACCCCGTTGATTGTGGTCCACTGGTTCCCAAATGCGCCAAAGACGTCTCGGACACTGTACTTCTTGGTTGAGTCGATTGGGATAAGCTTCACCGTTGTCTCTCGGCAGCGTTCTGGTTGACGAATCCAGCTTTCTTCAAAAGCTGGAGAAGCAGTCCAATCAGGTGTACCCTTCAGCGACGCGTGAACCAACTTCCCGTCAACGGGGACCCTCGACTCCTTGAATTTCGATGAAAGTGGGCGGTCGAAGATCCGGGATCTAGGGTTTAGGGTTTTAGGGATTTAGGGTGTTAGGGTTTTAGGGATTTAGGGTTTAGGGATTTAGGGTTTCAGGGGTTTAGGGATTTAGGGTTTAGGGTTTTAGGGATTTAGGGTTTAGGGTTTTAGGGATTTAGGGTGTTAGGGTTTAGGGTTTTCGGGTTTAGGGTTTTAGGGTTCAACTAGTGATGCGTGCAGCTGTCCACCGAAGCTCGAAGCCCTGGAGCTTATGCCTTGGTTCGGAAGCTGTGCACGCCTCCAGCCTGCAGGCCGAATGGCCAGTTTGTAGATTTAGGGTTTAGGGTTTAGGGTTTAGGGTTTAGGGTTTAGGGTTTAGGGTTATATATATATATATATAAGGGAGGTGCACATACACCCATAGTTAGTTTCCCTGAGTCCGACACATTACAGTTCTCCGGCTAATCGATCCATTTAAGGCAGCCGCAAACCTCAATGTGGCGAAGGAACTTTCTCGACTATGTATGGGTTTAGGGTTTAGGGTTTAGGGTTTAGGGTTTAGGGTTTAGGGTTTAGGTGACAGTGACAACCCCTCTGCTGCATGTTCAACAGCTTCGAGGCGACATCTGCTTCTTGTTGTTGCTTAAAAACATGCGCGTCTTTTAGCTGCAGCACTAATACAGGGGCCTGAATAATCGGAATAGGGTTTTGGAGCCCGCTATCTTGCGATTACAATAAGAACCCCCCCCCAAAATGGCGAAGGTAATTGTTTAAGCCCCTACATTGATGTTACCGGATTTCTACTCATTTGCGGGCTCTACCATGTCTGCTGTCTTCATCAACTGCATCCAGTATACAGGAGCACAGTTCGAGGGCACCGCAACGTGGGCCGGCAGGGCATCATTGCGATTGCATGTTCGGCTTGTGGTGGGTGTTCATCTCTCAGAGGGGGCTGAAGAGGTTTCGGGTAGTGATATCGCAAATTACAAGTCCACGGTCTGACTATGGTATGTATGGCTGCATGATTTCGGGCTTTACGGCACAATTCACACATACATTGCATTGAAGCGAAGTGAACGTATCATGCGGGATCCTTCAATGCTGACGGTTTTTTGCATGGGGACTGTCAATAGAGCCTGTACAAGGTTTGAGTTCAAGTAAACTTCAAAGCAAGAAGGTCCCTTTGCTTTCGCTTGCAGCTGGTGCAGGCATACGGTTCACGGCCCGTGGTGTTGGATATGTTGCTTCTATGCGCCGGTTCAGCCTATGAGCCTCTCGCAGACAGGATGGAACTAGAGCTGACCTTGTCATTTTCGCATCCGGCTTGGGGAGACTGTACCTAAAAATCCTAAACCAACCTCGTGTTCAGATTAGCTGTCTGGATCCCAAGCAGCACTTGCTTTCTCATCTCCTATACAAGATGCTGGAGTCCAACTCAAAAACGAACACCACAGGACTAACACATAGCCGTGTCTCAATAGGGCTTTCGGCCTATTGCACTTTAACTCTCTATGATAAAGCGTCTCAGGAAGAGTAATATAGAAGCGTTGTTGTTTGGCTCCTTACTAGAATTATAGTACAGTATACCCCAACACCCTAGTCTAGTTATTGAGACCCTACCCTAAACCCTACATTATGGCGAATTCTTCAGGCTCCCATGTTTCATGAGCCACCGTTCCTCACATCAGAAGCAAGCCGAGCGTCGGAGGCT